GCCGCGCGATCCGACGTTTGTCCGCCGTCGGCCGCGGCCGACTCAATACTGGGTCCTGGGGTCCGGAGAGAGCGGGGGGGGGGGGCGAGAAATTCATTCATGATTGCCTTGCTTTCCTAGGCTTCCTAGGGGAAGAAAAGACGGCATAACACACAAACTTTTGGCGCTCCGCGCGGATTTCTTGGATCCGCGCTGCACCCCCCCCTCCCTGGCGCGCGGAGCGCGCCAGGGGCGGCGCCAGAGGCGCCGCCAGGGGGTTCCTGGGCGCCGACCCAAGAAATCTACACGGAGCTCCAACAGTGTATGTTTATGGCGTTTTTTCTGCTTCGATTTTCTCGGTGGGGTGCGGGGGAGGGGTCGAGATACCTGAGCACCGCAGACTATCAAAAAAAAAAAAAAACGGATAACCAGGGCAGGAGCAGCAGGCATCGAATCGGGGAATCAGGTAGGGCAGGCGCGTCGGTCCGGTCGGGCTGCAGCTGCGAGACGTCGGAGCCGAGTCGGATCGTCTGCGCCAGGATGCACAGCAGCGCCACGCAGGCATCGGGCCACGTCGGGCCGTCGAAACGCCAGAATCGAGCCGGGTCGAGCCCCGGCTGAGGCGGCCATCGGCTCGGACAGATCGCGCCGAAGTGAGCCACGGGGGCCCTCCGCCTCGGGAGGTGGCTCGGTCGACGCAGGCCATCTGCGATCGGCGGCCTGTCCCAGAGCTGAAGTCTGGGGTGGGCGGGGGGGGAGCGGCGCGCGCCAGAAGCAGAGCAGGGAGCCGCAGCAGGGCTCCCTCGCGGCAGACCGAGGGGTCCCCCTGCTCCCGTCCCATGGTTTCTCGCAGGCCCCAACCCTAACCCACCGAGGCTTCAGGGCGAAAGATGGGGGGGACCAACTCAGGGGGGGAACATCGGCATGGAAGTGGCGATACGTCGCCGATGGACTGGCGACAGGCCCGCGATAGCAGCGAAACTGAGACCGCGCGCTCCTGGGCGGGGTGGGCTACCAGACTTCTACTGGCGATGACTGGGCGATTGTGCGTCGATCCATGCCGCCCCGAGCCAGTCCCCGCCTGTCGTTGCCCCGGAGGGGCTGCCGCGTGCCGCACTCGACCGCCGAGGATCGAGGAGGGAGGCTGCTGCACGCCTCGTGCCAGTTGTTGTCGGCCGCTTCTGGCCAGTTTTGGGGGGCCTCTGGGAGCCTCTGCGGGCCCTCCAGGGGCGTCCAGGGGGGGTCGGTGTCCAGAGCGGCAAGGGAGCTGACCACCTCCGCGCTGTCCTTCCCGCTCCTCCTCATCCTGCTCCTCCTCCTCCTGATTCCTCCTCCCACCTGCACGCCTATCGTGTTCCTCCTCCTCCTCCTCCTCCTCCTCCTCCTCCTCCTCCTCTTCCTCCTCCTCCTTCTCCTCCTCCTCCTCCGCCTCCGCCTCCGCCACCGCCTCCGCCTCCTCTTCCTCCTCCCCTCCTCCTCCTCCTCCTCGCTCCTCCTCCTCCTCCTCCTCTCCTCTCCTCCTCCTCCGCCTCCACCTCCTCCTCCTCCTCCTGCTCCTCTCCTCCTCCTCCTCCTCCTCCTCCTCCTCCTCCTCCTCCTCCCCTCCTCCTCCCTCATGCTCCTCCTCCGCCCCCCTCCTCCTCCTGCTCTTCCTCCTCCTCCTCATCACCACCATCATCATCATCATCACCACCACCACCACCACCACCACCATCATCATCATCATCATCATCATCATCATCATCAGCATCCTCATCATCCTCCTGGTCCTCCTCCTCCTCCTCCTCCTCCACCTCCTCCTCCTCCTCCTCCTCCTCCCCATCAGCATCATCAGCATCATCATCAGCATCATCAGCATCATCAGCAGCAGCATCATCAACATCAGCATCACCATCATCATCAGCAGTAGCAGCATCAACATAATCAGCATCATCCTCATGTTTCTCCCCCTTGTCGTTGACCTCATCATCATTTGTCCCTCATCCTGGTCATCACCCTGCTTCTCATACTCATCCCGCTCCTGATCATCATACTGGTCCTGTTCCATCACATCCTGCTCCTCCTCCTCCTCCTCCTCCTCCTCCTCCTCCTCCTCCTCCTCCTCCTCCTCCTCCTCCTCCTCCTCCTCCTCCTTCGCTCCCTCAGCAAGCACTCACACTGGCGTGCTTTCCGGCTACAGCACAGCAACAGGCCAGCGCTCACTCGACGCCTCATGCCGGTGCAGAACCTGTACCTACCTACAGGAGTGCCGCCAACGGGCTACGCCCAGCACGTGGAGCCCTCATGGCCCCAGGAAAATTCCCGGGAGACCCGGGCGCTCAGCGCGTGCAGCCATCAGCAGAGCAGTCAGGGGACGCCTTCTGGGGCGATGACGGCCATGCACCGGCACCCGTTTGGGCCAGGCCAGCTCTGAGCCCAAGGACGGTGTGCGCACCTTCCCGGCTGAGCCAGGAAGCCGTGCGCGCCGCTCTCGGGCCCAGGATGGCACCGGCCCTGGCCCTGGGAGGTGCCGGAGTACCGCTGCTGTCGTCGCCACCGCCTTGTAGCAGACGCAGTCGCAGTTCCCTTGGGAGTCGACGCAGCAGTAGGGGCACTTCGGCTGGGTCTGCTGCCACGGAGCCTGGCTCCTGCTGCCATTGCCAGGAAGCCAGCGAGTCCGATGCGGAGGGAAGGGGGTCCTGGGTCCCAGGGACATCCCCCAGGACCAGCTTCCCACGCATCTGGCGTCCCGATGTTTCCAGGCACGGCCCCCCGATCCCTCGACCACTATCCCCGGGACCCGCAGTTTCATCCCGAGCCCTCTCTGACGGTCCCGAGGTCGGGTGAGGGCCCCGCGAATCCGAAAGCTACGAAAAACCTCCGTCTCGAGCATGCCGAAACGCCGGGTGTCTAGGTGGATCCCAGGGCCGTCCCCCAGGGGCCCTCCTCTCCTCCCGAGCCGTGTCTCTGGGGCCTGGGGAGGGCCCCCGAAAGAGCCCGACGGCGGCCGAAGAAGCCGAGGAGGGCCCGGGTCCCCGGTCTCCGTACGGCATGATTTGTTCATGGCGTCGACCCCAGAAAACTCGGCCCATTCCCCAGGAAGGGTTTTCCGTCCCGAGTCCTCTTTTGACGGTCCCGAGGCCCGGTAAGAGGGCCCCCAGAGGTCGCAGACGGCGAAAACCCCCCCGCCGTGATGTTGAAGGGGCCCAGGGACACTCATGAACAAATAGACACAAATCCAAGGACCCCCGATATGGTTCCAGATGCTCTGAACGTTCGTCTTCCCCTCCACGTCTCCTGCAAGCCTCGTCAAAAATAAACAGGAGACTTCTGAATTCGGTGATTGTGGGGTAAACGCTACTCCAATGCTGACGGATTCCTGTTGACTCGGACACGGCGTTGTCCAAAAACCGACCCCGCCCTCTCAGCATTGCAGAACGCGCTTTCTGAGAAGTGCCCGAAAGCATTGTGCTCCAGGATTTCAGCTTCCATTTCTGGACATGTTTGACGAGGCTTGTAACTTCCCACGTATCTGTTCCCGGGGGTCGACGCTTGCTTGTGTCCATGTGTGTATGTGCTGTTTGTCCCTCCTGAAGGCTTGCTCGTGACCCGAGGGGGTCTGGGACCCTCGGGGCCAGGCTGGCTTCGGCTCGGGCATGTCCCCCCCACAGGCAGATTCTGGACGACAAACAAAATAACAAGCAAACATCAGACAAATCATGACACAATCGTCCCCAGACTAGCGCAAGTAAAAGCCAAACAAATAATAGCACAAAATCGTCCCCAGACAATTTTGACTATCTTTGAATACATATATATATATATATTCATATATTTATTCCTCCTGTACAAGGGACACGCCCGACGTAAGCCTGGCTTCCTGGCAATCTTCCGCACGCCGCCCTCGTCCGCGGCGGCCGCGACGGACGCGCCGCCCGCCCGGCCCAGCCAGGGCGCGGCGCCGCCCCCCGCGCGGCGAGCGCCCGCGAGCGCGGCGCCGCCGGCGAGCACGGCGCAGGCCGCGGCGAGCGCGGCGGCGGCCGCGAGCGCCCAGAAGGCGCCGCGTCGCGGCGGGCGCGAGGGCGCCGGGCCGGCGCCCTGTGGAGCAGGCCGGGGAGAAAGAGATTCGTCTGGGGGCGAGGTTCGGCCAGACGTGGCTACTCCTGAGTCTGGTTCGACTGGCGTTGGCTCCCAAGACACGCCTGTGGGAGGACGTGCCCGACTCTAAGGCCAGGAAGCAACGAACTCCTGGGAGGTCTTCGCGCAAGAACGCGCAGGTGGAGCCCAAAGGAGCATGCAGTGAACCAAGGATTCTAGCGCATCGTCTCCCGAGCGGCGCCCGCCACAGAAAGCGCACGCCACGCTGCACATGCTCTCCGACGCGCGTGCCGCCGCCTGTTGGGGGCCAACGCACGTCTAGTTTACGTAGGTTCGGGTGGTGCCGAATGAAAAACTGCTTGGCCTGCTTCAGGGGCCACTGAGACCAAGCCCAGGATTAGGCCGGACTGCGACGGATTCAACGGGATCAGGCCGGATTGGGCGGGACTGGGCCAGATTAGGCTGGGCTTCGGCCACGGATTTACCAGCTCCGATGCTGAATTCAACCTCCCAGGACATGCATCCGAACCCAGAGGCACCTGGCGGTGTGTTTTCCAGCCCGCGCCCCGAGAAGGTCGCGATGACCCTTGAGGTCCGAGGCGCCCCAGCGTTTTCGCTCTGGGCGTGCTCGCCCAGAGTCGGGCCGCGCGGCGCCATGGGCGGGTCGATCCGGCTCGAGACGTGCCGCAGATGGGTTGGGCCCGGGGCTCGGGTCGAGGTGTTTCACGACGTTGCACTGTCTCGCGACCTCGGGCCTCAGAGACATCGGGGAGCGCGGGCACCCCAATCGCCGACTTTGTCGGCACACCGAAGATGTGCTTTGTTTCGGTCCACGGACCTGAGACTGGCACGCCCGAGGTAGGTACGGAGAAGTGGGTGCAGCGTCCAACAGCATACGCTGCATAGCACCGACAGCGGCCGTCGTGAGGCAGGCGGTTCTCTGCCTCGCATGGGCAACGCCCGCGGCGACGCTGACAGCGAGTCCTGTCCAACATGGACAGGACTGCTGTCGGCCTTCGATCGCCACTGGGACCTTCGGTGGAGCTCGCTATGAGGCCACGAAAAGCTGTACTGGGTGCGGCGGACCCTTACGAACGTCGGCACTGGGGCCTTCGGTGGAGCTCCCTATGGGGCGTCGAAACGCTGTGTTGGGCGGGGGGAGCGCATGCAAACGTCGCCACTGTGGCCGTCGGTGGAGCTCCCAAGGGCCACGAGACGCTGTGCTGGGTGGGGCGGACGCATGCGAACGTCACCACTGGGGCCTTCGGTGAAGCTTCCTGTGGGGCCACGAGGCGCTGTACTAGGTGGGGCGGGCGCATGCGAACGTCGCCACTGGGGCCTTCGGTGGAGCTTCCTGTGGGGCCACGAGGCGCTGTACTGGAGGGCCTTCGATGGAGCTCCCTATGGTGCCACGAAACGTACGAGGGGAGTGCCGAGATGGGGGGAACGCATGCGAACGTTGCCAACGGGGGCCGCCGGTGAAGCTTCCTGTGGAGCCACGAGACGCTGTACTGCGTGGGGCGGACTCGGTGGAGCTCCCTATGGGGCCACGAGACGCTGTACTGCGTGGGGCGGAAGCGTGTGAACGTCACCACTGGGGCCTTCGATGAAGCTTCCTCTGGGGCCACGAAACGCTGTACTGGGTGGGGGCGACGCATGCGAGCGTCGCCACTGGGGCCTTCGGTGGAGCTCCCTATGGAGCCATGAGACGTTGTGCTAGGTGGGGCGGACGCATGCGAACGTCGCCACTGAGGCCTTCGGTTGAGCTCCCTATGGGGCCATGAAGCGTGAGAGGGTGTGCCGCACTGGTTGGCACGCGGAGAGCAGAGGCACGCAGGGGAGGAGGGAAGAGGGGGAAGAGGAGAAGCAGGAGACGCGGGGCGCTGTCTCATCAAAACGAGGGCCCAGCACCACAGGACTGTTGGGAACAAGCAACTCCGCGATCTGGGGCACAACGCACTAGAACCAAATCGACGGCAGAAGAACCACCCTCATTATGAGGCACCCCTGCCAGCGAGGCCGTTTAGCAAGCACACCGAAAAAAAGGGAAGCGCGCAGGGCGACTGCGCAGTAAGAAGCCCTGCCTCGCAGGCGCCAGCAATAGGGTCGGAGCAGTTGATCCTCCCTTGTCGGGGATAGACAGACCCCCCTTTGGTAAAACGTGGCTTAGTGAAAACGACCTGAGGCCCAAACCTGGCGGGCGCAAGCCTGGAAAATAACGGCCACGGCGCCCTCTCGAGAACCGAAAACTGACAATTCACCAATCGACTTGTCACTGTTGGGGGTTCTGTCCACCCCCGACCTTGGCTAAAACGAGATTGTACTAATGTCGCTGGAGCGCCTGGGCGGTGGCGGCCTCGTCCGGCTCTGCGCCGAGGAGCGCCTCGCACTGGCGCGGCTCGCTGGCGGGCGCACCGGCAGAGCCCGCGGCGGCCATGGCTTGCGGGCTTCGCGGGCGAGCAGCCACAGGGCGCGAGGCCGGGCTTTCTCCACGAGCCACCGCCTGGGGGATCGATCTGGGGGGCCTCCGCGGGCGGTGGATACGGATCTCTGTGTGGGCCCTGCGGGGCCCAAACATACAGTCGGGGCGTTGACCTAAGGAACGATAAATGAGGAGCGAGGCCCCTTTTTCCCATAAGTTAAACTCCGATCTTCCATGGACAACCTGGGGAAAACCCAAGGCAAACTGTAAAACAATCAAGGAACACCGAGCCCATCCCCAACGAAAAGGGTTCCTTCCTCAGCGACTGTATGGCCATACCCACTGCCTGCCGAGGTCCCCGAAGATCGATCCCCCAGACGGTGGCCATTGGAAACGCAATCTCCGCCTCGGGCTGGGACGGCGGTGGCCCCTTGAGACCAGGTCGTCGTCGTCGTCGTCGTCGTCGTCGTCGTCGGGCGCTCGAGGTTCGAAGTCCCAGGCTCCAAAGTCTTGGGGCCTCGCGGCGGCGCCCTCGTGGCCGCAGCCGCCCCCGAAATTTTCTGGCCAGAGCGTTCCCAAGGGGGGAGTCCTGGGGGAGCGAAGAGTGCAGCGCTGCAGTGCCTGTGTGATGTGAGCAGAGCGAGTTGTCTCCGTCCGTACGTGCGTCCCTGGCTCGGGGTGTCGGGAGGGAGGTCCCTCGACCGGAGCACGCGCAGCCGGGCCAGGAGCACCCGAACACACATCGAGAGACATCGATGTCGCACGGTCGAGTCTTTGATGGGGGGACGCCCTGGGGCCGCAGCGAAGCCGACGTCGCCCTCGCCGCCGTCCCCTCCCGAGGCCCGGGCGCCGCGGCGGCCTCTTCGCCCGGGGCGCCTGCGCCCGGCCTCGGGCCCGGCCCGCGGGCCCTCCCCTGCGGGCCGGTCGTGGCGCGAGAGGCGCAGCCGAGAGAGAAGCGGGGCGCAGCGAGCTCGGGCAGCGCGAGGGAGCCGAGGAGGCGGAGGAGGAGGAGGAGGAGGAGGAGGAGGAGGAGGCGGAGAAGGAGGAGGCGGAGGAGGAGGAGGAGGAGGAGGAGGAGGAGTGCTCCGCGGCAGCGAAAAGCGCAGGGCAGCCCGCCGGCCCGAGCCACGGGGGTAGCGGGCGCGCGCTCGCAAGGCCAGATCGGTTTGCATGTACGCCCTCTCCCGGGCCTTGGGCGCAGGAAGGATATCCACACACCCCCTAGTCATCACCCCCTCTTTGCCGCCCCCGATGGTCCTGGGCCCAGGATTGGGCCCGGCCGGGATACGGTAGAGGGGAACAACTAGTGAACACCCCCCCTGCCCCCCAAACTCAAGGTGGGCACGCGCGGGGGAGACCGCGGTCGAGGTGCAACTCATCGGACCCACCGCCAACTTTGAACATTGGGGGGAGGGGGAGGCGTTCACAGATGAATGTGGCATGAGTGTTCGCTATTTTTTTCCGAGGCCTGTAGTTGCAGGTCAGCTGGCTTCCCCAAGAAGTGATGCTCTGCATGAGAGATCGGCCCGCACAGCGCTGCCAGGCAGAGCGCGAGCCTCACCTTCCAGGCTGCACCAGTGCAGATCAGCGCAGCACCAGACACTGAGCACATCCAAGGCCGAGCACCAGAGGAGCCACCCTGGAGTGCGGCTTTGTGAGAGCCAGCTGGTTCTTGACTGAACGTGCCGTCACGGCTCTCGACTGGCCACGAACTAAAGCAGCAACCCGCTGATCAAAGCAGGAGGAGGACCATGGAGAGTGAGGACGAGAGGGGCGAGGAGGGGGAGTAGGAAGAAGGGCACAGAAGGAGGAAGGGGAGGACGGGAAGGGGAAGCAGGGAGGAGAGGGACTCATCACGGCGAAGGCGAAGGAGGAATGGAAAGAGCAGGAGGAGGAGGAGGAGGAGGAGGAGGAGGAGGAGGAGGGGAAAGAGGAACGCGCGAACATGCGACAACTGGCACATGGTCCTCAGCACCACGCAACACCCACGTTTCCGGAGCCGTTCTTCTGGGAAGACGGCCAATCGTGGCCTTCAATCGACCACGCTGCGCCTTCACGCAATATCCAGGCACAGTGGCAGTATGGGCCGAATGCCGCCTGATGGAAATATGAGGGTAGATGCCGATAGAAAGACTCGGGATAAGCATAAAAATGTTTACAGGGGTCGAGGCATGGGTAACAAGAGAAAGAGATAGAGAGAGGGAGGCAGAGAGAGAGAGATTAACCAATTAAATGTAGGGCCTCGATACTCGGGGTCATCAAAGGCATCGTCGTGCCCATCAGGACTGGTGCCGCGCACGGGAACTGCTGATTGGGGCTCCTCCTCCTCCTCCTCCCTCCTCCTCCTCCTCCTCCTCCTCCTCCTCCTCCTCCTCTCCTCCTCCTCCTCCTCCTCCTCCTCCTCCTCCTCCTCCTCCTCCTCCTCCTCCTCCTCCTCCTCCTCCCTCTCTCCTCCTCCTCCTCCTCCTCCCCTCCTCCTCCTCCTCCTCCACCTCCTCCTCCTCCTCCTCCTCCTCCTCCTCCTCCTCCTCCTCCTCCTCCTCCTCCTCCTCCTCCTCCTCCTCCTCCTCCTCCTCCTCCTCCTCCTTTTCCTTTTTTGGACTTGGAGTCAGGATGATGTGCACGAAGCGCCACCCGCCAGGAAAAGGAACACGAGAAAGGACAAGGGCAGGGAAAGCGAAGGAGGGCACGCGGAGCATGCGGTGAACCCGGGAGCCTGCCAGGGCAGGGACGGGGTCCCGGCACCCAAATGGGGCAGGGCGGGCCGAGGCCTCGCACCATGTTACCTCGGGCCCGCTAGGGCTCTGGGCCAGACAGTTCGCGAGCAAAGTCATTGCCCATGGCTCGCGCAACGTAGGGAGCGAGGGGCTCCCAGAAGGCCAAGAAGTCTGGCTCGACCTCCTCCGAAGGGGCGCCCGGGACCAGAGGCCAACCCCCCAGGGAAGCCTGAAGGAAAACAGAGGCAGCAAGACGGCACAAGCCCTGGGGTGCACCTTAGCCCTAGAGGTGCGCCACTGCCAATAGCCCTCAAAGCCCGCAAGGGTCACATGGCCACGGGGGCCGTGGAAGCACCTCCCGCCCCCCCGAGCAGCCCGCGCTCCCATGCTAAGAGACGGAAGGTGAGACGAAAGAAAGAGAGTAGGCTTCCTCGACGGCGCCCCGAAAAGGCGAAGGTCGGTGAGGACCCCCACAACCTCGGGCCGTCCGAGGAGAACCTCCAACACGTCGAACATCCACGCCGAAGGGGCCCCCCGACGGGAGGGAGGAGCAGCGTGCTCCATCACAGCCGGGATTTCGAGGCGGAGGGCGACGAAGAAGAAGAAGCGAAACCAAAAACGGATCGTCACAGGTCTCGAGTCCTCGCCGCAGCTGGGGTCGTAAGCAACGTCAAGGCTGATCACCCACACAGAGACAAGCGAGGACTCTGCAACCCTCTCAAACTCGTGTAGGAAGTCGCAATCGCTTCGGGCCCCAGCGAAAGAAAGTAGGAGGTACACGGTAGGCTGGCCGACTGGCCTGGGAACTTGGCCCGCATGGGCTCTGTCCTCAGCATCAACTCGAGCCATGGGGAAAGGTTTCCAGGCACGTTTATCCCTCGGGGCCAGGGCAGGAGGGCAAAACGAAACCCCAGGGACCCGAAAGGCTGGTTTTACAGCAAAGTGTTCAGGTCTACCCGTTTTGCTGTTAGCTTTCCTGGCAGCGACTGTGGCTTCCTTATCCTCAGGTAGCTGCTCGGGGGTCTTGGGGGGGCGTCATGGGCCGCCAGGCCTCTCTGCACCTATGATTCCGATAAGCAAGATTGTCCGAGATGACGCAGACTGGGGGGCTGTTCTGGTCTTGGAGACTCCATAACAGTGCCCATATGACTCCGTGTGCTTCGATGCTAGTACTAGTCCATATGGAAAGATCCGAAGGAAACGCAGTAAAATCAAAGCTCTTAGCTGACAAATATCCTTGGCGAGTGTATCGATCGCCGATCTGATGCAATACAGTAAAGGCCCAAGCACCATTCTCGGGCGATTTGAGGTCGAGAGATCCGTCTACATCTGTCCAGGCCCTCTCGGGCTCGCGGGCATCGGCAGGGCTAGTGTTTGCTAAGGCGTACCTAGTATGCGGATGCAGAATAATGTCGTTAAAGCGATCCGTAGGCCAATGCTTGAGCGCCATAGGATAGGAATCCAGGGCCCCTCTGACATCGAGCCAAGAGTCCAGCAGGCAACTCCTCGAAGCAACAGGGTGCGGAGCGGCAGTGACGCGGTTCTTTCGGGCCTCGCCCAGCTGCGCGGCGACGACGGGGCCAGCCCCAAGTGGGTCGGGAAGGGGGGGGGGGGTCGGAAGGGTACATGCAATGGCAGTCTCCCCGTCATAATTCTGGGCCCTGTGGGGCTCCCTGTAAATCTGCGGAGGCGCCTGCTTCCCCCGCAGACGCCGCCTCGGGCCCTGTGGTTCCAGCGGCATCGCGCCAGAACCCAAATCAAAATACTCATGGAAATTCACCTGAGCATGCGGCGGGGGGGGGGCCCTGAGTGCCGTGGGTGTTTTTTTCCCGCAGCCGCGAAATTACCTATCGAATTGGAATTAGCCCCCCCATCAGCGTTAGGGTCGGCATGAACAAAGAAGTCAGCCTCTGGCAGGCTGACGGTTGCATTGTTGGCTTCGCCCTGGCCCCCTGGGCCCCACGGGGCGCCAAGACGACGCGGGGTTGAGAGCTCCAGTGGGCCAGCCAAGCGCGAGGGGGACTCTTCTTGTCCCTTAAATCCCTCAAAATTCGCGGCGGGTGGCTCACTCTGCTCATTCTGATGATGGGGTAGATGTTGATCTCCTTCTTCATCGTCGCGTGCCGACTGGGCGTACGAACAGAAGAAGGTGCCCTCCCACGAGACCGTTGAGCGGAAATTCAAATGTCGTCCCTCATGGTGCCTGGCGCGCACGCCGACTTCCTTGGTGGCTGCCCCAGCGGCCCCCAGTCGTGCGCGTTCTGGCCGCGCGCTGGGTCGGCTGGCGATGCGGGGCTGAGACCCGCTGTCTGGTGGCGCTCGGGCGTCGTTGGTGCTGGAGGCACCTGTGCTGCAACCCGGGTCTCTGGTTGAGTCTGCGATGCTAGCTGAGTCGGAGCGGAGTGGAACCCTGGCGCGTAGACTTCTGGGAGGAATGGCGCCGTGGGTGAACACCCCGCTGCTGTGGCAAAGGCTGGGCTGCGTACCAGCGTAGGCTCCGACGGCGAAGGCATCTGGCTGGGAACCTCGACCTCCGTGGGAGATGGCACCGCTGGTGGCTGCCCTTGGGCTGCCTGCCCTGGTGGCGAGCTGGGACTCGGCACTGCTGTTGGCACGGAGTGCTCGGTAGGCGAGCTGCGGTGCAGGGGAGCTCTGGGCGGAGAAGTTGGGCATGGTATTCTGGCTGCTTCCGCCTGCTCCTGGAGTTCGCGCTGCTTCTGGAAGAAAGCGCCCGCGGCGGCCTGCACAACTCTGTCCAACCCCGGCAGCTGTGAGCGCATGGTTGGCTGCGAGTCTGCTGGCGGGGTCGGTGCGACCTGCTGGGTCGGAGACGACTGCACGGTGACCGCCGCTTGGCTCGGCCCCGTTCTCCTTGCTGCCTCCAGTTGGGCGTGCAGCTCCCTGATGGTCGCTGGGTCCTTGTAGCCTCCCGTCTCTGGGGTCGGATGATCCATCCCAGCGGCCTCTGCTGCCGCAATGGCGCGGGACAGCTCGTGCTGGGCTAGGTGGGGGCCTGGCCCTCCAGGGAGCGGGGCTGGCGGGTGCGCTGGCCCCTGGGCTGGGGGCGGCGCTGCAAGGTTCGCCGTTGTAGGCGTGCTCCCTTCTGATCTACTGCCATGGGGGCTACCGCCCCCTCTGGGGTCCTCCCTACTGCGCTGGCGTCCTTGCCTTTCCCTTTCGCCGCCATGTAAGCTTGGCCCATGGCCGACTTGGACCTCGCCGGCGTGCCCTGATGCACATGCTGGGTCTGCTGAGGCTGGCTGAAAACTTGCTGGGGAAGGAAAGTAGTCTGCATCTGCTGGATC